CTGGCTCTGCTTGACTACAGGAACACTCCCATTAATGGAGTTACGCCATCACAAGCACTAATGGGCAGAAAATTACGCTCCGATATCCCGACAAAACTTTCAACACTAACTCCTAAACTGATCGACCACCAGGAGTTCATCATGAAGAGGAAAGATGATCAGGTGACTCAGAAATTCTACTATGACAGGTCAGCAAAACCCTTAGAGAGCCTAAAGAAAGGGGACACCGTAAGATTCAAGCAAACTCCTGAATCACCTATCTGGAAACCCACTACAATTGTGGATTCTCACCATACCCCAAGGAGCTATATACTTCAAACAGCCGATGGTGCAGAATATCGAAGAAATAGAAAGCACATCATGAAAACCAAAGTTCTACCTACAACACTCTCTACAGAACCCGATTCAACACCGACGGAAAATCTTGAACAAGCTGAATTAGCTATAGAGAACAAACAGGATGACATGAGTCCTCCTACGAATACGGATGCATGCACAACGCGGCGATCTGGAAGGATTGTCAAACCAGTGAAACGTTACGGATTTGACAACTAGCGAATTGTATGTTTAATTTTAAACATTCCTTGAACAATTGAACATTTATCTATTATCATGGGTTTGTTTATTATGACTTGATTACTACGTGATTTAACCATATCAAAACCGTATACTCAAATTTCATATTCTATCATCTCTTATTGATAACCTTTAGAAAAAGAGAGATGTCATATATCTGATTGTTAATGTCATACTGATCACATGACTGTACTCTGATATATAATGATCTAGTTTGTAAACAKTGATTCAGAACTTGTACTAGCGAGAGCACGAATAAATCAATCTATAAATCTATAACACTGTTGTTCTATCATACATTCTCTTATAAGAGCCTTTCCCTAAACAACGCCCTCTGGTCGGAGATAATTTCTCTACAGACGTAGTACTTGAACTAATATGCAGTGGATATTCTATTTTAGGTGTGCGAGAAAAACGAGACGTAGGGATAGCAAGCTCTCCTTCATCCCATCCTACTGTAAGACCTCCGCGGTACACATTTAGAAGATTGTCGACCCGACCACCAGGTCAGACGTGGATTCCATTCACTGGAACCGCATTCAATCATAACTTGACTGAAAAGGAAATCACTGACCTACAAAACGAGACAAACTGGAAATTCAGCAGGTTTCCTACAGCAAACAGGTTTTACAGCACTTTACCGTATAAACGAGTAACAGGCAGCTCGCTTTCACAGCTAAATGTTACGGACAAACTAGCTTCAAATCACCATCAAAATGTATCCAGCGTCCTATTAAGCACAAACGACAAGTACTGGGCCCACGTGACTCCATCAGGACCCACCGCATCGTCAAAGAGCGACCCACAAAACAGCAAACTGTCTTTGAAGGAACGGTATACTATTATTATGGCGGTTGTGTCAGCAGTACTGTTTCTTACTTTATTAGGGTTTGTAGCTCATTTTAATCGAGTAAGAAAACGTAGAAAAGTCAGTATAACATTAGCATAAACATGCTCCTATTGTCCTTTCCGAAGAAGGTTTGGTAACTCTTGTGCGAAGATTATGGGGCCGATCCCATTCAACACGAGAGTTACCATTCTTCTCTCGAACGTACTTTGGAAAGGTAAAGTTATTAACAGCGAACAGTAGAAGCAAGATATACATCTAGTTCAAAAAACGTTGTTTGTCGGAGATCTGAAATCTGAAACCTGACACATACAATTGAATTGATGGATTATAGGTGATCGTACGATGACGTCATTTGTTTTGATCAAGAACATGAAATTCTTGGAAAATCAAGCAATAAACAAACAAATGTCAAAAGTGGCAAGATCCTATCGCTTTGGAAGATATCTGAGAATTTGAGAACAAATCTCTTGATGGTTTTCAAGTTAACATTGCTCAATTTGACAGTAAATGTATGTTGGTTGGCAAGATGTTGCTAACCAACCTGCATTTACTGCAAAATTTAGCAACTTTAATTTATTATATCACCTGAACTAATGAAGCAACTACTCTTAAATTGACAAACAGTTATGACTTCTTTATATTTCTTAATTCCAATCGTTTATGGCTCAAAAGTTGATTTTTGGAAATGTAAACAGTACGACATATGAAAGAAGACAAGATTGGAACAACGTCTGACTCAGAAAAATCTGAGCTCCAGACGGGAACAGTACGCCCACCTATAGTTGCGAATTCAATGAGTATTTAGCAACAAGTTAATATCTGAATATGGCACCACCTTTGAGCAATGACCTAGATTTCAGACGGATACTCTTCGACCGAAAATGTTTTTTAAAATGAATGTATATCGGTAGTTAGTGCATCAAACCTACTGCATACTACTATTTTAAAGCTTATTTTAACGCAATGTGATATCCACAAACAAACCAGTTTTTATATGATAGAGTGAGTGCAATACCATATATTCTTGAAAAAGTTAACTAACAAAACTGTACAAGTTAGTGCAAAAACCTGTAGCTACGGTTAACTCAACTTTCTAATTTGTGCAAATTTGTGCAATTTCTTGCAAAGATTTTCACGGATAAAGTGATATGCACTAATCATTTAATAACTTATATGACAATGGTAATATTTTTTTTTTTACTGCAATTTATTTTAGTTTATTCTGATATCTGACAAAGAAGACTAGTGCAACGGGACAAAATGTTTTAATGTATTTGTCATTTACATTAGATTTGTTGATGGAGTAAATGCAACAAACGTTTCGGATACATACTGAATGACTGAAGTTTTTTGTCCCGTTGTACTTTGACTTTACTTAGCAAGACTCATCCACTAGGTATATGACTTGATCTGACAACGATAGGCTAAAATGTCTTTCACAAATCTACAGTGATTTACAAGTTTATTAGTAGGCTATAATACTAGATAATACTTATAATACTATAAACCTAGATACCATGATACCATGACAATGGGGTCCACTGACACCTTAAACTGTCTTTGACAAACCTGCAGCGCTTTACATGTTCATCAGTATAGGCTACAATACTAGACACCTTGACAATGGGTACTGACACCTTAAACTGTCTTTGACATACCTGCAGTGCTTTACATGCTCATCAGTAGGCTATAATACTAGATACCATGACAATGGGGTCCACTGACACCTTAAACTGTCTTTGACATACCTACAGTGCTTTACATGCTCATCAGTAGGCTATAATACTAGATACCATGACAATGGGGTCTACTGACGCCTTAACCTGTCTTTGACATAACTACAGGGCTTTACATGTAAATACCCATGACAACGAGTACTACCAACACCTAATATGTTTTGGGGTCTATAGCTAACTATAGCGGAACCCCTCTGGCGTACATCATATATTTAACCAATAAATATATACCATATATATATATATATATGTTATCCATTTTGAAACGTATATTTGTAGCTGTACTGTTGTTGAATTAAACATGTATTAACTATTGACTCCTTTGACTCCTTTCTACTAATGAACAGGCTTTTTCTGTCATAATATTTGGAATATCAAGTCTGATGAAACTGTTGGCTGCTGCTACAGGCTGGAGGTGTGCCGAGGTTCTGGTCCATTTTGTCGACGTTATGTCGTCGGGTTGGAACTGAGTTACTGCGCATTAATAATAATAATAATAATAATAATAATAATAATAATAATAATAATAATAATTAACTTTGTTTATAGAGGATAACACTTGACAGTAATTCAACTGATAAACTCGTGGTCCCCTGTTAACGTCTCTAGTCAATTAGGGACGGGACCGCCATTAGCGTGATCATCCGAGCCACGTGAAGGTCTAACCATTTGCAGATGTAATTACAAAGGCAGCACCTTCTCCTCAGTTATTTTAAGACCCTGAGTGTTGGTCCGGTCGAGGCTTGAACCACGACCTCCCGCACAACAGACCGACGCTCTTACCAACTGAGCTAGCCGGGTGGCGGTATTGCCGTGGCAGTGCATATATGTGTATGTAATATATACATAGATAGATGTGGCAGTGCGCCGTGTGGGATGGGCTCGGATATCAAATAAGAACATGCGTAATAAGTAAATTACGAGCCTTAGATGAAACGACTGAAGGCTCGTAATTTACTTATTACGCATGTTCTTATGTAATATATACATATTTATTCGTTTTACAAAAATTCCTATAGTTTTTGTTCGCTTTGTATATACTGGGTAACCTGCTCTGCAAGGGAAGCCATTTCCTGTTTCGGGTTCTCCATATAGCTCTTTATGCTGTGTAAAACCATTAAAGTTTAAAGTTGAAGTGTAGTGTAGTTCCTGACGTTACATCCTTTCTCCCTCGCTTCTTTTTGTCTATTCATCCCGCATCCCTCAGGAATCCCGTTGCTCGTCTGTTTGCACAGATAGGCCAGATGACTTGAAGAAAAACGATTAGCTAATCAAACCGCCAATAGTGTTTTAGGAAAAAGAATCAATTCATCGTCTTTTCGTGTCCAATGCTTGATATGCAGGCGAAAAAAAGAAAAAAAAAAAAAAAAAAAAAAAAAAAAAAAAAA